TGTGCTTCACAAACAGCTTCCAGAAGGAGTATTAAGAGAGAAAATTGAGAAACTTGCTTCTTCCCTCAAGTTTCCTTTGAAGAAGTTGTTCGTGGTTGATGGATCTACAAGATCAAGCCACAGCAATGTAAGGATTCAACTCTTATGCATTGTACTGGGTCCACCCATGTGCTCTATTATTTTTCTGCTCTGATTTCGTGTCTTCCATATTTCAGCATCTATTGTTTCAAAATTATGTCATCTTATCTGACTCAAACTGGTGTTTTGTATGTATGGATCTAATATTTTGCTGCATTTGATATTTATTGGTTAATTCATTTTTTGCCAACATTTTGCAGGCATATATGTATGGATTCTTTAAGAACAAGCGGATTGTCCTTTATGACACATTGATTCAGCAGGTACTGATGCATTTCATTTATTTTTTAGATTTTCCTTATCTTAGAATGCTATTTTCGTACTGTCTTTGGTTGAATTAAACCTAGGTGGCTAATATAGGGGCAACATACACACTGGTTTTTCTCTTCAATTTTTTCCAATGAGATTCTATAGGTGGGAATTGTCTGTTAGAAATGATGTTCATCTGTACTATCTATGATTTAGGATCAAATTGACATTCAATGGTTTAATCCTTCAGCCTTCCTCACCCGGATTACTGCGAGCTTAGCTTTCGTTTAAAATTGTATTTGGTTTCACATTTTTTTGAAATTTTTTTTGGGTTAAATTGTAGAAAAATGCCATGTACTTTTATTATTTCCTCCAACTATGACTTGCAATTACATTCTTTGGACATGCACTTTTCAAGTATCTCAAATTAGGACCAGAAATCATTTTTTAAAATAAATTTGATAATTTACTTTTACATACGTATAGGTGTGATGCCAATTTCAGTATGTACCAAAAAAGTGATCGTTATGTCCTAATTTGGACATATAAAAGGTACAGGTCATAAAAAGATACAATAGAAATTAGAGGTCTTAATTTGAGACACTGGTGAAAGTATAAAATATCTTTACATAATTCTTTTTTTCTTTACGTGGCTGAATATGTGAACATGCTTGAGACACTGGTAAGACTATAAGATATTTTTATGTAATTCTCTTTTTTTTTTCTATTGTGGCTGAAATAATATGTGGACATTCTATTTTACCTTAGCATTTCGGTGCATCCTAAGGGTACTTTCTTCTTCAAAATTGATCCAATAAGTTGGGAAAAATAGCAAACTGCCTGTTGTCTCCCCATATCCAACTAGTTCAATTTCGTACAAACCAGTGTGTAATGTGTACCTCTTCTGTTATTTAGGGCTGTATTCTATTTACATTTATTGGTGAAATATGGTTATGGTGCTTTTTTTTTTGGGGGAGGGGGGGGCTACTTACTATGCCGTGAAGGTAATTTAGTTTGTGTGTTACTTTGTAGTGCAAAAATGAAGAGGAAATTGTAGCTGTTATTGCTCATGAACTCGGCCACTGGAAACTAAATCATACAATGTACTCATTCATTGCTATGCAGGTATACACTATTATTTCTTTTGCATTCTGAAAAAACTCTCAGTCCGTCGGTTATCTTATTGTTACTTCATCATATGTCGTGAATAGCATTCTTTGTTTACTTATTGTTGCTGAATGTTTAAGTTTCAATAGTTTTTTCCTTTACCCCTCATCTTGATAAGGGGCTTGAATTTGTTTTGTCCTTGTTGAGCTGTGCAGATTCTTACCTTTTTGCAATTTGGAGGATACACTCTTGTGAGGAACTCATCTGATCTCTTTAGAAGTTTTGGATTTGATACACAGCCAGTGTTAATTGGCCTTATCATATTTCAGGTATTGATATATAGCAAGTTAGCATGAAGAAATAGCATGTCTAATGGGGAGGAGTTTTGCTTGTTCTGCATGTGGATTCTACTGTTTAGAATAAGCTATTGGCTGTTTGGAATTCAGGTTTCCTAGCTTCTCAGTGTATGAATTGGTTTACTTACATATGGGAAACTTCAGTGCAACAAAAGTATATCAGAACGAAAGTCTGTTGATGGGTGTTAATTCTATTCTTAAAATTGTAGTGCAGTTACAATTGTTTGTTGGTTGGAAACTCATCACTGCCAATCAGGTTTTATGCAGTGGTCTATGGTTTCCTTTTTGATGCTTGTTTGCTCATCTTGGTGTGCCGGGTCATTATAATTGCTTTGACATAATGATTGTAAGGATTCATTTTGGGGGATGGATAATTAAGTGTTGGAAGAATTAATGGATTACAGAACTTGCAGCCTTTATATGTATTCAGCATTTATGGTCCATTATTTCAATGTGTAGACTTAAATTCTTTTAATTTTCATGTGTTTAGCACTATTCTCTAACAAGGAGATACTCATTTTTCATAAGAGCTGTAACACTTTGATTTGCCTTTTATCTGCAGCATACTGTAATACCAATTCAACACCTAGTAAGCTTTGCTCTTAATCTTGTGAGTCGATCTTTTGAATTTCAGGTATGTTCTATTTGCTAGGCATTTCTCTCTCTCCCCCTCTCTCTCTCTCTCTCTCTAATGTGTTTATGTCATGTAGGCTGATGCCTTCGCCAAGAAGCTTGGGTATTCCTCTACTCTTCGTGCTGCTCTTGTGAAGCTACAGGTGAATCATCAATATATATATATATATATATAGTATGTTTATGATTAATCTGGATCTATCATGTTGTTTTTCTTACTAATCTAAAATTGTGATTTATCATTGGATTTTTTTAGAGGACCCAAATCTGGTATGGATCTTTTGAATCGTGATTTATGAAAATCGTGATTTATGATTGGACTTTTTTAGAGTACCCAAATCTAGTACCTAATCTTTTTAATCAATCCCGTATTTTCTTGAAATGTCTTCATATATAAACTTGTCGTTGTTTGCACCATCCTGAGAAGCTCCAGTGATTTAGGAATCGGATCTCTCTAGTTGAATGACTACTGTATGTTTGAATGATGATGTACTCTGCTTCACAAGTTAATCATCTATACTTATACATTTGTGATTAATCTGAATTTTTCATGTTTTCCTTATTAATCTGAACTATTGGTTTATCATCAGACTTTTAGAGGACCAAAATCTAGTATCTCTAATCTCTTTAGCCAATTCCATTTTTTCTTGACATGTTCTTCATGTTAATACTTGTAATTTTGTTTGCACTGTCTTGCGAAGCTCCAGTTATTTAGGAATCTGATCTCTCTAGTCGACTTCCATGATGGAGTTGATGGTTGGTTGTATGACTACCATATGTTTGAATGATAATCTACTGAATTTTGTATTTAGGCTATGTTTAGAAGAAATCCATAACTGTGTGTAGAATTCATTTGTAAATCCATATTTATTTTAACTAAGTGGAAATGCAAATTCTATGAGAAGATAAAAATTGAGCTCATATTGAACTTCATATGGAATTGAAATAGTATATCTCAAGTTTTATCAAATTTGATAAGATTTTCTTTTGAAACAAATCAAATTCTATAGAATCTAGGATTGCATTATTTCTATTCTACAAGAAATTCCACATAAACTAAATTTCTGTTATTTTTATGTGGGACTTCTATCATCTTTTTGTTGAAGTAAAAGTGTAGGTTTATGAATGAATTTTACATTAAGTTTGAATTTGTTTTAAACATAGCCTTAGCTGCAATTTTGTAAGTCTTCTAGAACATCGCAATAAAGAGTTTTTAATCTGACTCAAAATAGTATTAAAGAAGTTTGTTAGACTCAAATCTTTTATCATATATATTCAATCTTTTATTCCCTTGATTTGGAATTTACAAGTTACTGTTCTTTTCAGGAAGAAAATTTGTCCGCTATGAATACAGATCCTTGGTACTCGGCGTATCACTATTCTCATCCTCCTCTTGTAGAAAGACTTGCTGCTCTCGATGAACCTGGTAAAAAGGCAGACTGATCTGCACAACTTAGGAATAGCTAGTCCGAATTATTTTGCTGGATTTTACTGTTAAGGGAAATTTGATCATGAGTCCACTGCTGTAATATTTTGTCTGTATGAGAAACTCTTGGGTCTCATGTTTCTTGTCAAGTTCAGATATGGAATATATAGTAAAGAACTTAACAAGAAAATCACTGAGGTTGAGGGAAAGGAAACCCGGAAGGGAAAAGTGCTGTATGCTATATTAGTTTTGCGTTTGCATGGGGTAAGGGAACAAAAAAAGGTCCTGTATGTACAAGGATGTTTAGGTGGGGAAAGTTTGATACAAGTGCCCTTGCCTTTGCACGTGTCGTGGACTGATTCGGCAAGAGTTGGAATGGATCTCCTTGTTAAATGGTTTTGGCGGAATTAAACAACATCCAAACCTAGTTCTTAAATATGGTGGATGAGTTGGTTTTCTTTCAAGTGGCTCGTGAGTCATGGATGAGGTTAAAATATTAAAATATTAAACTCACTTTTAAGGTTGCATGCTGGCAAGATGATTGAATCGTAGAAATGTCTTCCATATATATATATATATATTTAAAAATAAATAAAACAACTGAAAACAAATTGTAATATTAAAAAATGAAAATATTACATTTTAAATTTTGATAAAAACTGATATAATTTATAATAGGCTATTATTCTAATTTCGGTTAAAATTTTCAGTAAACTTAAATTCCTCGTTCTATTAATAAAGATTAGTATTTTTAAATTCAGTTAATATAAATTCCAAACGAATTTTGAAAGAGAATTTCGCTTCTCGTAAGCAAGGTCGGAAAAGTTGAGATGAAACCAACAAGTACCCACAAAGCTAGTCATTGTGATTTTCCAGTTTGTGGGTCCCACACTTATTCAGGATGTTTTTCCTCGATCAAGCAATGGATGTTATAGACCCAACAGATCATGATCATCAAAGTACCATAAGTAACGGGAACCGTCTGATGTGATAGACCCAGCGGCACCTGCGCGTGTCTTAGTACTGCCTACTTAACGGTCATGACCGCTTAGGCGCTTGTCTTCTTTAACACTGTTTAGCAAGTGGGTCCCTCTTCCCTCTTCTTCTTCATCATCATCTTCTTCTTCTTCTTCTTCTTCTTTCCCAGTTAACCCTCCACCGCTACAAGCGAAGAAACAACGCCCGCCATTCTTGTTTTTTAATAATAATATATTTTTTTTATTCTCTCTTTGATTCTCTTCGGTAGTCTCTCTCTGCATCTTTCTTTTCTTTTCTACATACCCAGAATTCTAAATTGATTTGTTCGCGGGGAATTTGTATTTTTCCGGGCGAAAGACATGCAAAGAGCGCCCCGAAACCTGTACTGTTTGAATTTTCATTTACTCTCTGTTCTCTGGTTCGATCAAGGAGAAGCTAATAAAGGAAGAAGAACCAGACAAGGAGGGTAGAAATATCAATGTACGACGCCACATTTCTGAACACGGAGCTCTCAGAGCCCGCATCGATTTTCGGTCTCCGTCTCTGGGTAGTTATCGGGATCCTCTTGGGTTCTCTTATTGTCCTTGCTCTCTTCCTCCTCTCTCTCTGTCTAACCTCGCGCCACGAAACCTGTACTGTTTGAATTTGCATTTACTCTCTGTTCTCTGGTTCAATCAAGAAGAAGCCAATAAAGGAAGAAGAACCGGACAACAAGAGAACGAAATGCCAATATACGGCGTTTAGTGGGGAGAGCAGAGGTACTGTCAGTGCGAGTGAGACGGCTTCGTTCGCAAGTGGGACATCGGGCCGGAAGTGTGGCATCTCGGATGGGGTAGGTGGTATACGCTGAGAGAACTTGAGGCTGCGACCAATGGGTTATGTGAAGAGAATGTGACTGGTGAAGGTGGCTATGTATTGTGTACAGTGCTGTTTTGGCTGATGGGACTTGAGTTGCTATCAAGAATTTGTTGAATAACAGGTAACAGTTAACAGTTCTAAACTTCACCATTTGACCTTCGTTATTTAACTTATGTGTTTATGTATACTTGTTATATGCACTTTCTTTTTATAATTGTTTGATTGGTTGATTTTGAAGTCTGAGATTGACTTTTCAAGAGGGTAGTTCTGTTTCATTGGTTGATGGAAGAAGAGAGCACAATGAGCTTTTAATTTATGTTCTTACTGTTGTTCTTTTTCTGGAAACAATCCTATTGCTGTCGTTTGAGTCCTTTTTTTCAGAATCTCTATCTCTTTTCAGCAACTGGGTCTCCAGTACTTCGGCAGAGAAGCAGATTGTTATTTTGTTTGTCTTGCATTTCGTGAAGTCTAATTTTCATTTTTCTTTAGACAAGAACATGAAGGTGGTCTTTGGTGAACTTGAATTAAATGCAAGTCCACATTATCTTCCTTCATGATTTGAATATTTGTTTTATTTGTTGTTGGGTTGGCTTGCCTTAAAGGAGAAACAACAGACTCCAATTTAATATCCTTTCACTATAATTCCAAGTAAATGCCGTTCTGAATTTGATTAGTAGCTTTTGTTAATTCTCTCTCCTTGTTTAGGTGGATACTATTCTGCATATAATTGCCTCTGCTTCTGGAGTTGGATTTTGGACAATTCATGTTACCATTGCATTTTTCTACAAGTATCATGACAACATAAACTTCTAGGGGTCAAGTCGAGAGGGAATTTAAAGTGGAGGTGGAAGCAATTGGCCGAGTACGACCCCAGAATCTGGTCTAGTTGCTTGGTACTGTGTTGAAGGTGCATACAGGTATTCAAATCATGTTAATTTAAGGATTGGGTTGTGTTTTCTGTTAGGAACTACTGAGGTAAATTCTCACTTAGCTTTCTTTTGTAGGATGCTTGTCTATGAATATGTGGATAATGGCAATTTGGATCAATGGCTCCATGGTGATGTTGGGGAAGTCAGCCCTCTTACTTGGGACATACTTATAAACATCATATTAGGAATAGCTAAAGGGTATAAAACTGTTTTAGTCTTTAGTTTCATCATTCAGAACTACCAAGTTTTTTTGTGCTAACTTTGTTTATGTGCTACTGTTATGACTGCAGATTGGCCTATCTGCATGAGGGCCTTGAACCAAGGGTTGTCCATCTGGATATTAAATCTAGCAACACATTACTTGATCGCCAATGGCACCCTAAGGTCTCTGATGTGAACTCGGTAAACTTTTGTGTTCTGAGAGGAGTTGTGTGACAACTTAGGTGATGGGAACTTTTGGGTTGGTTCATGCTTTCTACAGTTTCATATTTAACTTGGTCATTTCATAATCATTGTTTTTACAGAAAAAAGCAAGAAAGTGACATTTTTTTTTTAATGAATTGCTAGTTATGTTGCTTTAGAATATGCTTGCACTGAAATGCTGAATGAAAAGAGTGATGTCTATAGCTTTTGCATACTTATAATGGAAATCATTTCTGGAAGAAACCCTGTAGATTATAGTCGACCACAAGGAAAGTTTAGTTTCTGCAACATGCCGAATGATTTGTTCGGAAAATATTTGCGAAATAACCATGTTGAATCTCGTTCCTTAAATTATTCTAAGTAACATTAGAGTTCCTCTTTATTATTGGCTAACTTGGGAATGAGGAAAAAAATTTCAAGTGAACTTGGTGGACTAATTAAAAACTATGGTTGGAAACAAAAAATTTGAGGAAGTAGTTGATCTGAAGTTGCCTGAGATGCCTGCTTCGAAGGCACTTAAACATGTTCTATTGGTTGCTCTCTGGTGTGTGGATCATGAGGCAACACAGAGGCCTAAGATGGGACATGTTGTCCACATGCTTGAGGCAGATGACTTGCTATTTTCTGATGTAAGTAACGTTCTCTTTTTAAAATATAGACCAACAATTTACACATTAACATGTGGAGGTCACTGTAATTGAAAGAGAACCATCCAATTCCCATCCAATAATCAACAAGTGAGGCATACTGTTCTGAAGTTCCCATCACCCAAGTTGTCACGTAACTCCTCTTCGAACACAAAAGTTTAGCGAGTAAAATATGATGAAATAGTTGATATGAAGTTGCTTGAGATGCTTGCTTCAAAGGCACTTAAACGTGTCCTGTTGGTTGCTCTATGGTGAGTGGATCCTGATCCAACAAAGAGGCCTAAGATGGGACATGCTATCCACATGCTGGAGGCAGATGACTTGCTATTTCATTAAATAAGTAATATTTTCTTTTTAAAAAATAGACCAACAATTTACTGATTAGCATGCGGAGGTCATTGTGTAGCTTCTACAACTGCCGTATGACCTGTTTATGTTCCCCTGAATTTGCGGGAGCATCAAATTGGGAGAGAACCGTCCAATTCCCATCATAATGATCAACCAGTGAGCCATACTGTTCCAAAGTTAAATAATAAACGACTTGATCGTCCATCTTTTGATATAAGCGAAGGGGAAGGTTATGAAATGTCACAGGTTTGTAAAGATCTACCCTGTGCATTGTTGGAAGATAAATGAGCTTCTGGTTTCATTGTGTATCCTGCAAAGCCACAATAAACTACTGTGTCCTAATATGTTACTTGAGTACCTCTCTAAGGACTTTATGCTGCAAAATAGATAAGCCTACTTCTCTTATATTGGATGATTGAAACTGGCAACTAACAGCCCAATGATCTTAGATAGGAAGCTTTATATATTTTTTAATGCTTAGTCAGATGAATTTACACTCGGCTTTGGGAGAATTGAAGAAATGTAATCTTCATGAATTTAATTTGGGGCCTAGGCTTCTTATACTATGATTTGACACGTGTAGAATAGATCTTTATTGTTATCATAATTTGCTTCCATTGAATAACTTGTAATAGTTTACTGCACAATTTATTAGCCTACTGAAATACCATAAAAAAAGTCAAGAGCATCTGACTTTATTGATGTTAATAAGGCTTATTTATTAAAGCTATAAGTGCTTTGAGTTTGAATTTCAATCATGTGAGAGCCTTTCTAGAAAGCACACCTCATAATGTTTTGAATATGAGATTTTGGTTTTTCTTGAGAACTAGATCATGCAATCAAACATAATTTAGATGTTTAATGAGAGAAAATTTAGTTGAACTACTCCATGATATCTTACTTTTCCAATAGTGAGAGGGACAGAGAGGGGGAAAGGTATGATGGTTTTGGGAAGAGGTGGAGAAGTGGCTAAGGGGAAGGACGAAGCGCTCTGAACGAATGAAAGGAAGGAGGAGAATACGGTGTTGAAGGAAGAAGGTCGGGTTTGGAGTGAGAAAGTTTTGAAACATAGGGACATAGGGGGGATGCTTAAGTGCACAATTTGGGTTGAATGGTGACAATGTTATAAGAAGTTGTTATGAGAAGACATATTGACCAAAA